ATCTTGAAAATGCAAACCAAAGATAACATAAAAAAAGAGAACTGAAGATCAGTACCTTTCATGAAATGTGACATAAGAATCCTCCACAAAATATTAGTAAACCATGTTAAACAATGTATAAAAAGAATTTATATACCATGACTAAATGGGATTTCTAGGTATATAACTCTGATTTGATATCCAGAAATCAATCAGTATGATCCACCATATCAATGAGCTAAAGAAGAAAAATCAGATAACCATATAATGGACACAGAAAAAGCACTTGACAAAATCAAATTCATACTGAAACTCTCATAATTATAATTCATAATTCTAACTCTCTTTATAAATAATAAATTCACAAGTAAAAACTCTCAACAAACTAGAAATAAAATAGAATTTCCTTAACTTAAAAAAAAAGGAGCATCTAATGGGGTGCCTGGGTGGCTCAGTCAGTTAAGCGTTCAACTCTTGATTAGGGCTCAGGTCATCGTCTCACAGTTTGTGAGTTCAAGCCCCGCTTTGGGCTCCACTCTGACAGTGCAAAGCCTGCTTGGGATTCTCTCTCTTCCTGTCTCTCTGCCCTTCCTGTGTGCACGCGTGTGCTTCTTTTCTCTCTCTCTCAAAAATAAATAAAACTTGAAAAAAAAAAGGAGCATCTAAAAATATCTAAAGCTAACATGATACATAATAATGAAACAGGATCATTTGCTCTAAAGATTGGGAAGAAGGCACGGATGTCTGTTCTCACTCTCTTATTCAGTCACATGCTGATATACTCGTGACGAATAGGTGGAAATCGCAATTAAAACTGATCTAGAAGTGTAACACAATTCCGATAAAATCCCAGAAAGGTTTTTTTTTTTTTTTTTTAGGTATCAGTAAGCTTATGCTAAAATTTACATGGAAAGGTACAAACTGTAGAATAGCTAAAATCACCTTGAAAAAGAATAAAATGTGAGGAATAGCTACTTGATGTTTCGACATCGACAAGTATGGTGTAGTATTGGTTACAGGAGTAGAATTTAGTGATTCATCACTTACATATAACACCCGGTGCCCATCCCCAAAAGTGCCCTCCTTAATACTTATCACCCGTGTAGCCCATCCCCTCACCCACCTCCCCTATAAAACTTTTAGAATTAAACATAAGAGAAAACTTGTGGGCCCTCAGGCCAGGTGAAGAGGGCTTAGACTGTAAATCTGTAAATCTGTAAATCTATAAATCTGTAAATCTGCAAAAGGGGAAATTAGACTGTAAATCTGTAAAAGGGAAAATTGCTAGGTAGGGCCTCCCCCATAGAATTAAATACTGTTGCTTTGTAAAAGACTGTTCAGAGGATGAAAAGACACGTTACAGACTGGGAGAGAATATTTGCAGACATTAGCAGCCGTTAGGAAAATGCAAATCAAAATTACAATAGGATATCGCGATCAGGCACCCATTGGAATGGCTAAAATAAAAATAGTAAAAATACCAATTGCCAGCAAGGACTCAGAGAAACTGAGTCAGCTGTACGTCACTGGTGGGAACGTAACATGACACAGCCACGCTGGAAGAATAGATCAGCCGCTTCTTAAAAAACCAAACCCACACTTAGAATGCAGCCGCTGCACTTGGAGGCGTTTATCCCGGAGACATGAAAACTTAGGCTTACACAAAAACTTTTTCGTAAATGATCATAGCACCTGTATTCGTAGTAGCTCCACGCTGGCAACAGTGTGTTATGTCTTTCAAGGGGTGCGTGGTGAGACACGCTGCGGTACATTCATATCACGGAGTAATACTCACGAAAAACACCCCTTAATAAAAAGAGCTGTTGATACATACACCAACTTGGATGGATCTCGAGGGAATCGTGCTAGGTGGAAAAAAAGCCAATCTTAAAAAAGTTACATACTGTGTGATTCCGTTTATACACCATTCTTTAAATGGCAAAACTGTAGAATTGGGGAACTGATTGATGATTGCCAGGGGACGCGGATCGCCGGTGGGGGGCGGTGAGGGGTATGTATGTGTGGCTATAAAGATAACATGACACAGAGTCTTGTGATGCAACAGTTCGGTATTCTGATGCTGGTGATCGTTACACAAATATGCACATAGGATAAACTCGTAGAGAACTATTCACACACACACACACACACACACACACACACACACACACACACACGAATGCCTGAGCTCTATAAGTTATACCAATATCCATTTCCCGGTTGTGATATTGTAGCTACGCAAGATGTTCTCACCGGGAGAAACCGGGTGGGGGGTCACAGAGACTTCCCTACACATGTTGTTGCAACTTTCTGTGAGTCTGTAATGGTTTCATAATAAAAAGCTAGGAAAAAAAGAACTCAAGGGTGGAGCTGGATGTCTAAAAGATGCTGAGAAATAGTGACGTGACAAAAACCAAAGTCAGAACAAGGACCAGGAGTGACAGCAATCTCATCAGCAGGGCTGACCCCGAATAGAGCCCAGTGTTCAGGTCTATTTGGAGAATATTTAAAATCATCTTTAGAGCAGGAAGAAGAGACAGCTAAACCCACCCGGGGAGGGGGCGGGGGGCAGTGCTTCCTGTTAAGCAGAACAAACAACTTTTCCACCCGTGTGTTTGGGGGTTTTCTCTGTCAAGAAGTATGTTCTGAAATTGGTGGGAAGGCGTACAAGAAGCAAGACATGAGGCCCGAAATAGTGGAGGGCTCCAGGTGAGAGGTCCAGACAGATTCCATCCCACGGACCGCAAGAGCTTCCTGATGTGCTAACAGAGCTCCTTCTTGAGAAACCAGACACTCTGGGGGAAAGACAGGAAGCTCAATAAAGAAAAATGTCCGTAATTTTCCAAAAGGTGCACAGGAGTGCATCCCAGAAGGATACTGACACAGGGGACAAGGGGAGAGTTTCTTGTTCAAGGCCAGACGCTCCGCCGTTGAGGGAGAGGGTGAAGCTTGTACTGGTCCCCGAGGAAACACCGGGGGTTTTGGTGGGCCTTCTGCACAGCAAGACCAGCGGTAGGTTGAGTCTCTTCAGAAAACGAAAGCCATCTTCAGGAGACATAAGGAAAGGGAGGGAGCGAGGGAGGAAGAAAGAAAGGAAGATGCTTGGAGCCATTTAGTGCTGAAGCAAGGAGTTTTATTCATTTCAGTAAGCCCTGAGGGGGTCACTATGTTACAGAGCCTCACAGTGATTACTGTTCATAACGGCATTCATCTGGAAAGTTCCATATGGCCCGCGATCTTTGTATGAGAAGACAGGAAGTTGTCAGTGCATTTAGAAAAATGTTCCTTCCAACGAAGCTGGAGGGTTTTGTTTGCTCGTTCGGTTTTTGGTCAGAATTTTAGTTAGCGGCCTCCGTAAACCAAGTCAGAAAGCTGGAATCCCTCCTTGAAGCTGGCCTCCCCCCTCACTTGCGTTGCCCCGCCATTAGAGTCCTACTGACGTGACTTCTAATATCTTTCCAGAGCATTCTCCCTTTCCCTTCCTCATAACCATTGCCTCTTATTGCCATGCTTCTCTCTGTCCTCAGAGCTACTCTTTGTAGCTCGTCCCGTGTTTACATCAAGTAATCTCAAATGCAAACCAATGCCTCTTTGCCCAATGTCAAACGTTCAACGCTCCCCATTGCCTTCAGGACAAAGTCTAAATTAATTGGTCCTAGTCTCAGTCCCCTCTGAACTTCCCCACTCAGTGTTGACCCCACCTCATGGAACCATTTGTATTTCTCTAAATATCCCCTATGAATAGATCATAAACGTGTGGTCCTCTATTCCTGCTCCAGCCAGCATCTTCTGTCACTAATTCCCTTTATTCTTTAAACTTTAGAAGAGTTCCCACCTCTGACCTTCACATGAGACCAGGTTGGATCTGTCCATAGATCTGTCCTGTGCTGGTGACAAATTGTACAGAAATAGTTTACGGGTGGCCTCATCCTGCCATCCTCCTGCCACCACCAACGTGACTGAAGACTCCCCATTTACTCTTGCTTCTTCCCTCGGTGCCGAGAACAGTGCCCCGCAGGTGCTGAATATGTTTGATCAGCTGACTTTGCTTGCACATTTTCAGTACCTTAAAAGGCACATATCGGCAATGCTGCATTCCCCCAAGTTCTGAATAGCCAACAATTACTAAAGGCATTTGCGTGCATGCATTCTCTGTTACCACACTGTAAATTCCTAAAGACAGAACACCCAGCCCCTCATCTTTGTACCCCCTTAAATCCCAGCCGGTGACCGCAGGAACAAATGCTGGATGGGAGAGACAAATCAGGCCAGGGGACAGAACTTCGCTTGCTCTGAACATACAACTTCCAGAAAAGACTGGGAGCGGGAATGACTCATTAGTTCAGAAGGCAATTCCGAAAGGATATTCTGGAATGGAAAACCAGAGATCCCCTGTGGAAAACACTCCCTGGTGACTTTACTTTAAAGTCTAGAAGATTTAAAAAATGCACCACCTGTATAACAATGAGGGAGAAAATAAAGACGACAGAGTTGCCTGAATTTTTAAAACCTGAAGCGAATCTAAGACAAACTAATTATGAAGCTACAAACATAGCCTAGCCCACACGAAATGGAGAAAGCACTCCCTGATCAACACATCAGTTATTATGGAAGTCACCTTAAAGAATTTTCAAGGAATTACATTAAATAACTACGTGGCACTGGCTTCAGTTTTGTGGAAACTTTTCATCCCTCTTGTTTTGTTTTGCCATTTCATCGCACAATCTGTGTGTCCAAATAAGACGCTAATAAAAAGGAGGAGCGTATGGTAACTGCATTAATCTGGGGAAATTATTTGAATACAATTTATTGCGAAGCTAAAAAAAGCAACCCCAACTATATGCTAACGATACAGCATCTATTACTAGCATTCTACGAATTCCAGATTGAAGCATTCCAGAAATGGATTAGTGAGAGTCAATGGTACAAACCTAGGCTTCCTATCACCTTGTCCATTCTCATGTTGCCAACAGAAAAAGTACATCACCAGGCAATGTCATTACTGGGAAGGAATACTTTACCGTTGATTTCAAAGGTCTCCATTGCAGGGAACATGGTTTGGTTGATAGTTTCTCTTTCTCCAGTGCTAGCCAAGAACTCGTCCTCCTTGAGAATTTCTTTATTTTCCATTGTGAAGCTTTATAGGTGGCCAAAAAGTCCTGGAGCCAGCAGAAACGTTCCCCTCAAGAGGAACCACTTGGGGGAAAGATTGTTCCTATTTAACTACTGCAGCTAATTGTAGGACACACGGCACTTCCCTTTGGCTCTGACTTCTGAATCTGCAAAATGTTTCCTGACATGATCAGAATGGGACATTTCTCAAAAACAGGCTATTCACACGTGGAGCTCCTGCTCCGTGCAGCTGCTTGTTAAGGGGGGATGGGGTGTCAAGGTGGCTTTAGGGCATAAGTCACAGGTCCTTGGAACCACCCCTCGCTCCAGGCTCCTGAGAGCAGGGTGGTGGATGACCCCAAGGAGGATGTTTCCCTCCCTTCCCTCTGCCCACCAGAGCCCCGCCATCATCACAGACCCAGGACACTGTCCCAGGGCCTCCGCAGCTTACACTGAAATCTCCCTCCTTTGGCCTACTTTGGCCTCAGGGTTCATCTTTGCTCCTTAAAGTGTGGACCCGGGACCAGCAGCATCAGCATCACCTGGGAACTTGTTAGAAATGCAGTCTTAGGCCCCGTCCCCATGTGAATCCAAATCTACAGTTTCACTAGATTTCCGGGTGAGGTACATACACGCTGGAGAAGCGCTTCTCTGTAGCACACATTGTGGCTTTTGATTCTGCTTCCCCTCGTATCTTCCCATGCTCTGTGTGGGTCCGCCCGCGTGCTTGCTCTGGCCCCAGTAAGACCTGGACTCCTGGAAGGGAGAAACCCCTTCCTTAGCTCCCTCTTGTCAGGCATTCCCCATCCTTCCTGGATGGATAGCCGGGTGGTGAAGCCACAGACCCTACAAGTTCAAGTGTTCGGGTTCGAATTCCACCTGCTCCTCAGAGGAGCTGTATGATCACGGGGACATCATGCGGGCTCCGAGCGCCTCGCTTTCCTCAATCGTAAACTACGTAGGATGGTGATATTCGTTTGGCTGTTGGCTAAAAGGATGAGACCGTGAATAATGGCCAGGATGGCACCTGGCAGGCAGTGGGTGCTTGGGGGCATGGCTATGATCGCTAGAGACGTGAGCTTCCTGGTTTCCGGGGAGATTAAGGGAACGGCTTTTGCCTCAAAAGGAGCTCACAGTCCAGTATGCGGGGAGAAAGTGGATACAACCGAATTCTAGAAAACTGCTGTGAAAGGAGGCAGTCCCTGAAGCCCCTGACAGAATGGCCTGGAGGCAGCGGGGCCACCAGAGAGCTTGCTGATCAGCTCCGGGTTCGAGGGCTGACCGGGGCTTTGCCTGGAGAGCGAGATGGGTGGGGGGTTCCCAGGTCAGAAGGGTGGCGAGTACAGAGCACAGGCCGGGCGGCCTCAGGGCCGAGGCGCCACGAGACTTTGGGGCTGATTGGAACCCGAGAGGTGAGGAGGAGAGGTGGCCGGAGATGAGGCTGGGCCCCGCCGAGTCACTTTCTTTGGCCTGTGGCGTGTGACAGAAAGCCAAACGGGAAAGGAACTCGGGAAAGTGAGTTACTGGCAGTGCCCGCAAGGCAGAGGTCCCCAGTGGTGCCTGCGGTTTCAGTAATCAGGAAGTCCCTGGCTGGGGCTGAGGTGCGGGGAGCCGAAGCCAGCACAGGAAAGGTTAAAGGCGAGGAAAGGGAAGCAGCTGTCAGCTCTAGTCAGAAGCCTGGGCCACGGAAGATAGTAGATGCTGCGGGGGGCGGGGGGGGGGTTTCCCCTGCAGGAGGGCAATCCTCCAGGGACAGGAACCTGCTCATTTCGGCTCCCCCTGCCTGGTCAGCTCCTCTCTGGCCAAGCGTAACCCTCATTCCCGGTGGGCTAGTTGCCGAGTGCATCATCCTTGGAGGGAGCATTTAGTGGATCTCAAACGTGGTTCTTTTGGCTCTAGATACGGGGCCAGAAAGACCTGGGCCACAAACCCAACCCTTTCATGAACTTGCCGGGTGACCTTGGGTGACTTTCACTTCTCTGGGCCTCAGCACCAAGTAATAGTGCATCGAACCATTAACGGGTGTCCAGGGTTTCTCAGGGCCCAGCACTGCGCTAAACACATGTGTCACTCAACACTCTCTACGACGTGCAACTAGCCTCAACTCTTGTGCTTAGAAAGTGAGGCCGCCAGAATTGGAATCCAGGGTATTTTCTCTCTCTCTAGCCTCGTCTAGACCGAGTTTGATCCAGAAGCTGTAATCCAGTAGTCCACGCTGGAGGAGTTTTTTGGGAACACACATACCGTTTCTCCCCGCCCCCCCCTCCCCCAGCCTGAGATTCTGGTTATAACACAAGCCCCATGGCTGGATCTATGTGCAGCCAGGCTGAGGACCTTTGCACGCCCAAAAATAAAACAGTCACACGTAGCACAGAGACGCATGGGACTCCTTCCTGGAAGCATCCATTAGGGGGACCCATACGAAATTATTGCTATTTAGCCCTTTCTGACACGTAGTAAATGGATACTTCATAGGATTCAAGCTAATCCTCTCGGCCTGCAGGGCGGGGCCTAGAATAAGGTCATTGAGGCACCAGCTTCCGGTGCAAAGAGATTCAGTAATCAAGGTCGTTAACATTTTAACACGATATTTTAAAAGTCACTTAAATGCAAAAAGCCCGTGATGAACAAAATGTCAGCATCTTAAAAAAAAAGACAGGATCCCACGCTGCATTTGCAATGATCCATCGCTTACCCTCCCGGGTCCCAGGGCTGCTCTTTACTAAGTTTAGGCGACCTCATTTGCAAAAGGGGACACGGGTAGTTGCCCTGTTTGCCCACAGGGTGGGCATGAGGGTCCGACAGAACAATAATAGCGTAAGCTTATTTATCAATGGAAGGGCCCTCAGGAGAGTGGCATCTCCTGTCAAGCCAGCATGTGATGTGAAACTCCTGCACTGTTAATAGGACCCTTAAAAATCCCTTATGTCTCCCATAAAGTACAAAACACGCAATTTGGGAAATACTGTACAGTCTCTTCTTAAGTGTCTTCCACTCAGACACTTTTATCTTTGGGAACAAGGATCGGGCTGTTTTTTTCTCTCGAGCACCGGATGAAATGGTTAACTTGCCTTTGGGACCGTGTTGTTCAAGAAATGCGGGGTTTGGCTTTATTTTTCCAGTGCGTATAATTGGATTGGAGAATTTTTTTTTACATTTATTTATTTTGGGGAGACAGAGTGAAACAAAGTGAGAGCGGTGGGGGGGCAGAGAGAGAAGGAGACCCAGGATCAGAAGCAGGCTCCAGGCTCTGAGCTGTCAGCACAGAGCCCGATGCAGGGCTCGAACTCACAGACCGTGAGGTGGTGACTTGAGCTGAAGTCGGACGCCCAACTGACTGAGCCACCCAGGCGCCCCCCCCCCTTATTTTTTACAAGGACTGGAGAATTTAAATGTGTGTTCAGAGTGGCTCTGATGTAGCTACTTCAAGTTCTGTTGTTCTCCAAAGTGACAGCCAAGTGCTCTTATCAGACAGGGGTAATGCGGCTGCAGTCCCAGGCAAGTGGGACCCCATGCCTGGTGGTCTCTGTCAGCTGGGCTTTCTATGAACTAGTGTATCCCCAACTAGTTTAGCTGGTGGGTCAGCCGGCAGATGAAGAACTCCTGAGCAGCCTCGTTCCAGCTGAACACTGGGGCAACCATGTTAATGCATGATGTAAAAATCGCCAGCACAAACCCAAGTGTTCAAAACAGGCAGACAAAACCCCACAGCAAGCAGGCAAGCCCAGTCTCCAGTGGTGGTCCCAGAGTTTCCGTCGTACCTCCCTGGCTGTTTGACCACTTGTTCTGTCGTCTGCCTGACCTCATCAGCAGAGACAATGGAAAGGGGGATCCAGGCAATGTATAAAGCATACCAAAGAAAAATGTTAAAAGTTCTTTGACTTTATGTTTCTTTCTAGCTGTGCGGGATGGTGGTGGTCGGGGTCCCCCCCGCCGCCTAGCTCATCGCCTGGTGCTTAGTGAAGCTTGGTAACTGCTGATTGCAAATCGGGCTCCTGGGTGGCTCAAATGGGTGAGCATCCGAGTCTTGATTTCGGCTCAGGTCATGATCTCACGGTTTATGAGTTTGAGCCCCGTGTCTGTCTCTGCGCGGCTGGCATCGAGCCTGCTTGGGATTCTCTGTCTCTCTCTCTTCCCCTGCACGCACACTCTCTCTTTCTCTCTCTCTCAAAAACAAAACAAACAAAAAAAAATTAAAAAAACATTTTAAAATAACTGCTGATTAATTAAAAAAAAAAAAAAACCCAGCAACACAAACAGCCATCATTGGGTGAATAGGTACATAGATTGTGGTATGCCCATTCAATGGGATATTAATCAGCAGTGGAAAATAATAAGCAAAAGTATGAGCAAAAGAAGCCAGACCTGAAAGAGGACATCTTGTAGGACTGCATTTATATTAGGCTTCATAACAAGCAACATTCATCTGTGGTGTCAAAAAACGGAACCATGGTTTCCTGGGTTGGGGCTAGGGGGCAACTGATCGCACAGGAGCACAGAGGAATTTCTGGGGTGATAGCAATATTCTGTATCTTGATTGGCACATTACTTCCAAAACATACTGAACTTCATACTTGAAAGGTGTATACAGTTTCCAAAATATATCTCAATAAAGCTAATTGGATATAGTATATAAATTATACCTCCGTAAAGTTAATTAAAATAGCAATTAAAGGCCTCACTGAGCCACCCACACCCTCTCCTCCCTGAGTGGGGAAACTTACCCACGCTTTGGGACTGCCACGTCAGGACTGCAGCCTGTGCTTTCAGAACAAAGAAAAAAAAAGTGAAGTAAACAGGTCTATGGTGAGATTTTCCCACTGACCCAATGCTACTTCCCCCACCCACAGCCCACCCAGGGCAAAGGTCTGATTTCAAGAACATGAGGGTTCGAGCCCCGCGTCGGGTTCTGTGCTGACAGCTCAAAGCCTAGAGCCTGCTTCCGATTCTGTGTCTCCCTCTCTCTCTGTCCCTCCCCTCCTTACACTGTCTCTGTCTCTCTCTCAAAAATAAACAAA